TTTATGGCAAAACTCCAAGTATAATTGAGGAGATACCTCTATTTGGCAGGTTTAATGCCTGTATTACCCATAGTGGTTTTTTAAAAGGAGTTTACCATTACTTACCGTAATTTAGATGGAAAAGGGAACTTGTGATATTTTTGATGGAAACCCTGTGGAAAATATTGCTGGAGATGGAAATGAGAAGAGGGTAGTCTTATTTATTTATTTATTTATTTTTAGTATGAGAGATTGAACCCAGGGGCACTTAACCACTGAGCCACATCCCCAGCTTTTTTTTTGTATTCTATTTAAAGACAGGGTCTCACTGAGTTGCATTGGGCCTAGCTAAATTGCTGAGACTGGCTTTGAACTTGTGATCCTCCTGCCTTAGCCTCCCCAGCACCTGGCATTGCAGGAGTGCTCCACCTCATCCAGTGAGGGTAGTCTCTAATGCTGGACTAGAAGAGCAGGTTTCTGTGGCGAATTGTTCACAAAAATGGCTGCTAATGTTTTTTCCCACCACTGTATACACATTCCACTACTATAAAGAGGTAAAGTGTATGATCCTTGTTTTTGAATTGAGGCTGGTCCTCTGATGTTCTCTGACCAACAGAATGGGACACATATGATACTGTATGACTTCTGGGCTTAGTCTTTGAGAATTTTCAGATTTTGCTTTTATTCTATTGGAAATCAGGTGCTACATAAAGAAGGGTCCATATAAAATGAGAGAGACAGAGGCAGAGATAGACGCAGACAGAAACACACATACCCACACCCACTGTGGGGATGAGAGTCCATGTTTTAGTTAGCTTTTTTGCTACTGTGATCAAAAGATCCAACAAGAAAATTTTAAAGGAGGGAAAGTTTACTTGGGGCTCACCGTTTCAGAGGTGTCAGTCCACATATGGCCAACTCCATTGCTCAAAGCCTGAGGGAGACGGAACAGCATGGTGAAAGTCCATGGAGAGGAAAGACATGGCAATTAGGAAATAGAGAGAGCGCTCTGCTAACCAGGGAAAAAATATAAACTCTAAAGGTTTGTCCCCCGCCACATCCTCCAGCCATACCCCACTTGCCTCTAGTTACTGCCCAGTTAATCCATATCAGTGTATCAATCTCTCATAATCGAATCATTTCACCTTTGGACATTAGTTTTGGTGAGACATCTCATATTAAAACCAGAACGGTCCACATGGCAGAGAAATTAGGTATCTCAGTTAACAGCTAGTAGCAATTGTCAGGCATGTAAGTGAAGCCCTCTTAGGTCCTTTACCCACAAATGTGCCTCCCAGCTGACACTACATGGAGCCAAGAAGAGCCATTTTTTTTCAGTCCTGCTTTGAATTCCTGCCCCAGAGAACACTGAGCAGTAAAATAATTGTTTTTAGTCACCAAGTTTTGGAATATTATAGGCCAACAAAAACTGTTCCAAAGATAGGCCAGGTGACAGAGTGACTCCTACGAGGGTGCTGGTGCAATTTCTTTTGAACTGGGGATTGAAACTAGGGGCTCTTTACCACTGACCCACATCCCCAGTCCTTTTTACTTTTTATTTTGAGACAGGGTCTTGCTAAGTTGCTTAGGTCTTCACTGGTTGCTGAGACTGGCCTCAAACTTGAAATCCTCCTGCCTCAGCCTCTGGAGTCTCTGGTATTATACCCAGCTCTGTGGTATCTTTGTTGCTCATGGCAGGGGAAATAGGACTTCACACATTCACAGTGAAGCTTGATAATCAGACAGAGTAAGAGAGTATACTCTTCTTGCCATTGGACCACGCAAAGCAACACAAAGGATGGCTTTCAACCCAGTGTCACTTTTTTTTCTTTTCTTTTTTTTTTTTTTTCTGGTGCTGGGGGTTGAACCCAGGGCTTTGTGCATGTGAGGCAAGCACTCTATCAATTGAGCTATATCTCAAGTCCCCAGTGCCACTTTAATACTTCCATCTAGATTGGCTTGTCATCCAGAGGCACAAAGGTAAAAGATGAAATATAGTGATATCATACCTTCTCAGGGGCCAAGCCTCTGCCACTGTGTTGCTAAGTAAGGGAACTAGGGAGATTGATTAAATTTCTAGTCTACACTGCCAGACTGACTGTGCTTGTAGGCGATATCTAGGATTGAGGCTGTGATGCTAAATATAGATGACTCTCAGGTCTGTTACTAGATTCCTGTTTTGTTCTGTTAGTCCCTTGACTATTACTACAATTTATCTAGTGGGAAGCCCCAGTCTCATTCTTATCAAGTTGTTATCATGGGGATTAATATTCTGCCCTTGAACTGTAGCCTGGTTGTTCTGCCAGTATCTCAACCTGCTTGCACCTCTGAATATCACCTGTTCAGGAATTTGTCCTCCTTTCTTTCCCTGTTAGCTTTCTCTGCTTGTCTGGACTACCATATGTTGTTTGCCAACATCTCTATACACCATGCTCCATCTGTTTATTCCTTCATATCCTTATAGCTCCTGAAACTTGATTTTTTTTAACCCCCAGTTCCTGCCTCTGAATCCTCTTATTCCATTGAAATATTGGAGCCATGTATGTCCAAAACAAGGAGTCTTAATTTTTTCTTTCACATAATATAGCCCTTACATATTATATATTTGATAATAATCTTTTAATGAACTTTATCTCTTTAGGTTATATCTTGTTGGTTCCCATATTACCAAGGTCATTCACTTATGAATGTAGATTAGCTTATGCTTCTTAGAAAGTGGCATATAGAAGTGATTTGCAGCTGGGCATGGCACTGCAGGTCTGTAATCCCAGTGACTTGGAAGCCTGAGGCAAAATGATTACAAGTTCAAAGCCAGCTTCAGCAACTTAGGAAGGTCCTAAGTAACTTATATAAAGGGATGGGATGTGGTTCAGTGGTTAAGAGCCTATGGGTTCAATCCCTGGTACCAAAAAAAAAAAAAAAAAGCAATTTACACACTTCAACAGAGAATATTACCTGGATCTCATTTCCTATGACATGGGCATTATATTTCATTACTATGCATATTTTTTTTCACTATTTATATAGGTTTTTAAATTATTTTTTTATCCTGGATGGATGGAGATTTCATGGGGCCCTAAAATCTACATGACTAAGCAAGTTGTGGTGGTGCATGCCTGGAGTCCCAGCTACTTGGAAGGCCGAGGAGGGAAGATTGCTTGAGTCAGGGAGTTCAAGACCGGCCTGGGCAGAATAGTGAGACCCCCACCCCCTCTAAAAACAAAATGAAACCAATAACCAAAACACAAATGTGAAAACAAACAAACAAACAAAAACCAACTTGTATGACTTTAGGAACCCTTTATAATATAAAAAGAAATATAAAATTACAAATATTTGATTTAATTGTAAATCTGTCTCAAATTTCACAATAGTATTATTTCATAAAATTCTGTTATGGTTTAGGTCTTAAATGTCCTCCAAAAGCTCATATGTTGAAAACATGGTTCCTAACTGATATTGCTATTGGGAAGTGGTGGAAACTTTAGGATGCGGGGGCCTCGTAGGACATAGTACATCAAGAGGGGCTTGCCCTTGAAGGGGCTCCTGGGATTCTGGCCCCTTCCTCTTGCTCTCTTTTTGCTTCACTGTCAGCTATAAGGTGAGCTGCTCTGCTCCACTACATTCCCCTCCATAATTTTTTGTCTTGCCATGGGCCTAAGCAACAAGGGTCTGGTGACCATGGATTAGAACCTATGAAACTGTGAACCAAAATAAATCTTTCCTCTTTATAAGTTATCTTAGATATTTTGTCATAGGAACTAAAAACCAACCAAAACCAGCCCTTTGCTAGAACTTTGTTATTAGGATTCTTTTCTCTTAGCACACCTCATTAAATTTAACTTAATTTAATTGTGTACTTAACGTGTGGGATTGTGATAAAATCAACACATGGAAGGGATTTATAACAATGCCTCACAAAGCACATAATAAATATTAGCTATTACTTTTATTGTTTATCAGAAGAATCTTACCAGATAATTTATCTTCCCAGCTCTTTCCTTTTGATGTAATGGGGATAATACCTGCCCTCCCTTTTTCATAGGGTTATTGTGAGGATCAAATGATAAAATGAGTGTGTTTTGTTACCTGGAAAGCATCAAACATATGGCAAGTATTGTTATTGAGGCTTCCTTTGACATTTAATTTTAAAAAGGTTAAGTTTAGGAAAGAAAAGGAGACTTTGACAGAGATGGATCACTGAAGATCTCTCTAGAGGTGGGAGGAAGCACAAAAGTGTCACCTGTGTGGCAGATTCTGGAGCCAGTGAGCTGGGCACCCTGACACCAGTCTGACATGAATGAAGTAGTTAGAAAAGATGAAATAAGTAGATTCTAAGAGATAATGGTCTAATTGTGCAAAAGAAAAGAACTAGAGGAGACTATCCCGCGTGTTTGTTGTGTGTGTGTGTGTGTGTGTGTTTTTTTTCCCCAGACACTGCTTCAGGCCTGTCATGCTTTACAATGCAGGTTCCCAGGCCTGTGCCTGGAGAAATCCTACTCACTGTTAAGGCTGAGCATAAATGTCCCTCCTCCATGGGGTTTTCCCAATTCCTCCTGTCCCTCTCACAGGAAGAATAAATGGTTCCTTTTCAAGTCTTTTCAGTGAAAGCACTTCTTTCACTCTAGACTGAGCGGACCCAGTTTTCCTTTTTATGGGTCTCCTGGACCTACTTTACTGTGTACCATGGAATAGGAGCTCAATGAAGGTTTAGGCAGTGAATGCACTTTGAAGAAATAACTTTTAAAAGTTGAGAGGGCATTTAAGGCCAGGATTCGAAGCAAGAACGCCTTGCACAAACGCAATAGTTGTCATTATCTGGGGCGGCTCAAAGACGAAACGCGCCGCCCCGGCACAGTACAGGGTGGCGGAGCTCCGCAAATCCCGCGGGAAGGGTCCTGTCGGTGGCCGGAGTGGGGCGTGGCCTGCGGGAAGGGGGCGTGACTTGCCCGCGGGGGTTTCCGCGCCAGGGGCGCGTCGGAGGGGCGCGGGAGGGGCTTCCGCCGCCAGGGGGCGGGGCCGGCGCGCCGAGTCCTCTGACGGCCCCAGCCAGGGAATTTCAATTTGAAACCTAGCGGAGGGAGGAGGCTGGCGCGCTGGCCCGCGGCTGGCTGGGACTGACGCGGGACGGGTCCCCCAGGCCGGTGAGCTCCTGAGGTGCGGCGTTGGGGTAGGGAGGCGATCGGGGCTGCGAAATGGCAGGTTTGGGGCGCGGGTCCCGGCCCGGGCAACTAGTCTCTGCGGATCTGCAGGGGCGGCTCGGATTTTTCCTCTAGCTGTAGCTGGGAAGCTGATCCCGGGCAGGAAGCGGTGGCGGGACAGTCTCTCCCGGAGGCGGGGGAGGGGGACTAGCTTTGGGATTTTCTGCGGCTTCCTCTCTTCTCTCCTCCACCCCCCCCCCGCCCCCATCAGCGCGACCCTACTGCGCCGCAGGGTCCGCATCCTGTTGCTCCAGGCCGGATTCCGCTCCTCTGCAGTGGTTCTCTCTTCATTCCCCGCAGAGTCTGCAGAGGTGGAGGCGTGGTGAGGACCGCGCCGTCCCTCCCCCGTCCCGGGTGAGGTGGGCTCAGGGTCACGCGTCTGGGCCCCTGGAGCAGCAGCGGAGGAATCCGGCTCCGTCCCCCGCGCGGGGACTGCGGGGACTTGGCGCGGCGGCGCTCTTCTGGAGGATGGTTTGGGAAGGGGACACGCGGGCCGGACGCGCGCGCGCGGGGATTGCGGGGAGTGGTGAGGGCGGCGCGCCAGCCCCACGCGCGCCGCGGTCGGCCCGGAGTGGGCTGGCGGCAGCCGTCAGGGACGCGCGTTCGACCCTTAAAATTCCGACACCCAGCTACCTCACCACAAATGGCTGCTTTTTCTCCTCCTGCGCTGGGGGCGGAGGGTTGGGAGCATTTTTAGGTGAGGTGCAGGGGAAGGACGAGGAGGAGAAAATAAGGAGCCGACGGGATTGAAATTGGCGTCGGAGACGTTGCCCCCAGCAGCCCGACGCCTGTGGTGGACGTTAGTCGGCATACTTCCCAGATGCCAGCCTCCCTTAAGGTCTAGTTCTTTTGGTGAGGTTTGCTGGTATTATAAGGGGAGGGGTCTCTGTGTGGAGGCCTTTCTACAGTCGTCTGGAGAATGCCTTTAATTTCCCTGTCACCACAACAGCTGTCTCCACGTTTAAGACCCCTGGGTGGGTTGGAGGGAAGGTGGAACCTAGAGGAGCTGTGAATGTATTTTCTCGTATCGAATCACATCTTTTCCTAGTTTCTTGAACTTATTGCATATGAAATGGTATGTAAGTGCCAGGCGTTTTGTTACTGCTATTTAAGCTTTTCTTTTCTTTTTTTTCTTTTCGTGACTTTTAGTTTTCGTTCATTCTTATTTTTTCAGTCCCTTCTTTATCTCCCTCTCCTGTTTTGTTCTCTCATCAGAATACATTATTTGTGTATTCTTTATGTACAACACTGTATTGAGAATTAGCATTTAGTTACTGTCTTGTCACCTTTCCTCTTGGGCTTAGCACTTGAGGCAAACTGAATCAGTTTTTTGGCTTGGGAAACTGGGATTTAGAATCCCCAATCTCTGAAGAACTAATAGTGCATAAATTCTTTTCAGTTTCCCTTGGCAGTCTTTTGCTGTAAGAAATCACTGGCTTGCTGTTGCAGTCATGTTGAGACTGCATTGTATTGTCATTGTTGGATTGTGATAAGGGCCAACCAGTCCCTCCAACTTTTAAAGAGCTATGCTGTGTCACCTGTCAGAGCTGGAACAATCATTTCTAGAATTTGAAAACCACCTTCAAGCCTCAGATTTCTACTCTTTGGAGGTTACTGGAGAACTGTACAAGTGGTAATGATTTGGAACAATGCTGTGGATTTAGGGCTAATTTAATCCTATCCTGTCTTCCTCACTTCTTGGGCAGAATTCCCACTGAAGTCAGTAGTGGTCTTGTGTGCAGACTGACTGCTGAGAACAAGAGGCTGCTCATTAAGAGTAATAAGAGGGGACAGTTTCTTTCCTTTTAAAACACCCCTCTTAAAGAAAGACCTAGTCATAACAGTTCTTTATCTGTTACCTCTGTTAGAAGTAGTTTTTCTACTATATGCAAAAAGTCTGGAAAGAAAATGTGTAGATGAATTGAGTCACCAATGCTCATACTCTTTGAGATCTAAATTAGATGGAGATGGGGGGTTATTTGAAAAGATTAAAAATCACTTACCCTACTAGAATTTCAGTAAAATATTTGCTATTCAGTGTAGAAAACAATATGGAATATTTTGCAGCAATTAGGTGTGTATATTTTAAAATCTGAGATTTAAGTCCAAAGTAGAAAGAAGCAAATTTGGAGATGTAGAGGAAGAATCTGAAGGGGTGGCCCACCAAAAAGTTACTGCAAATAGAAAACAAAGAAATGGAAAGCTGTTGCTGTATTTGGAAACCTAACTTTAATGTAGCTTGCCCACTTACAGATACATTCTTCAGGAGTTAGTGACCTTAAGGGCCCATGGTTAGATGTGAGAACTCTGAGCTTTCCAAGTTAGCTTTGTACTGGTCTGAGTTGGTGAGCTTGTTAGGTTTTTTTGCTTTTTAGCATAATGATCTTGTGGTTTACCCTTTCCAAATTACCAGTTCTAAAGAATTGAGTTTAGAAAACCTAACCAGTGACCAGAATGTAAAAATAGATATTTAAAAATCAGAACCATGTCCACGTGTACTACCCAACACTTGCTTTCAACTAAAAATACTTGCAAAGATGACAAAGCAGTCTTCAACCAAAATATTTATTGGTAAAATTTCTCTGTAATTAGTAATATTGTAGAGTTATGTTTAACATCAAGTTCTGTGCTTAATCACCACTCTCATATTACTGTGGCTAGTGACCTACAATGTTTTTATCTTCACCATTTTATTTAGAAATGTGGGGTTTCTATTTTATATTTTTTTAATTTTTAAATTTTTTAAAAAATATTTATTTTTTAGATGTAGTTAGACACAATATCTTTATTTATTTATTTTTATGTGGTATTGGGGATCAAACCCAGGGCCTCGTCTGTGCTAGGCGAGCACTCTACTGCTGAGCCACAACCCCAGCCCTGGGTTTTTATTTTATATAGCGAAATGCTAAATATTGTTGAAAGTTTGATTTGTTTCTGTTTTCATAGGAAAGCATGAGATTTTTTCTTTGTTTTTTGAATTGAAGTAGTCTATTTTAAAGCTGTGTGTAAACTTCTGAAAAATATAAATTGCAAGGATTTTTTAAGAAGGCAATAAAAGTTTATAGGGATCAATGCCACCAAAGAGTTACATTTTGCATTTCTTAAGTCTGTATTGTTTTACTTGGAGAAAACAAAGGAAATGTGCCTACCTTCTCCACCCCACCTTTATTTAGAAACAATTCCAGTGGGCCTGTTTATTTTTTTCAGATTCAGAATTACTGTACCTAACTACTGGTTATCCTTATAGATTTAAAAGCCTCAAGTAAAGTTTATGCTGGCTTCAGTAGTCAGCAAATACTAGCCAAACCCTAATTTACTGTTCTTTTATAGAATCTTGGAATCTCAGGGATGAACTGTTAGTATTCATCAAATCCACTCAGACCTTGTCCCCTCCCCTCAACACATAAACATTTCTAGTCTCTTTGGAAGACTTGTGTAAACAGAAGATTTGTATATGATTCCCCCAGATTCTAGACATAGCATCCCTTGGGAACACCATGTTTTGGCATAAACCAGCAACTTGATATTTGGAAGATTTCTATCTTTCCTCTGTCTGTACCCCAGACTAAAATCTAAAATGGAGTCAATCCCTTGTTATTAACTATATGGGAATGCCCTTCAAGATAGCTATTGAGAGTATACTTACTTAGAAGTTACCAGTAAGCCAGAAAGGAAAGAAGTTAATCATCTCTTTTATCTAGAAATGATTAAGAGTTATAATTGGTTTTTGGGTAGTTTTTCTATAAAGTGTGTATATTTTGTATAAGAGGAGGGACTGTTACCTATATTTGCCAGGTGGGGTACCTACACAATGTATGTACTTAATAAATATTTGGAGAATTAATCAGACTTTTGAGGTGCTTTTACTAAAGTTGAAAGAGTTGGCTTTACATAAACTGATTGTAGTTCATGTAGAAATATCACATAGTTAATATAGGTTCTTTTTTTTTTTTTTTTTAAACCACTAGACATTGTTTCCCCTTGTTTTGTGGTTGACTTGGGATCTGTGTGGGTTTCTTAGATGTGTGCTTTCCATATTTACAAGGGTAGATCATCTGCACATTATTTCCCTGGTTTTGGGGATAGTATTTATCTTAGAATTTCAGTGGGTTTCTGAATTTTCTCATTTTTAAAGTGTTGTCTCTTCTGCCTTGATATAGTGTAGATATCATGTGCCCTGTTGAATGCCTTCATACCACCTCTATTTTATTTTTCAGATTGAAATCGAGCTAATTTTATACTTGTAAAATGGAAACGTGTTTTCACTTCACAGATTCCTCTCATATTGGTATGTTTTCACTTTAGCATATTAGTCAAAAAGTCTGAATATATATAGTCTGGGTCCCAAGTAATCTTTATGCTAATATATAATAAGTTGGGGCATAAGAGTAGTCTTTTCTGAGATCTCAAAGTTTTCTTTTTTTTTAAAGAGAGAGGGGAGAGAGAGAGAATTTTTTTAAATATTTATTTATTTTTTTTAGTTTTCGGAGGACACAACATCTTGGTTTGTATGTGGTGCTGAGGATCGAACCCCGGGCAGCACGCATGCCAGGCGAGCGCGATACCACTTGAGCCACATCCCCAGCCCAAAGTTTTTATTTTAGGTAGCCAAGTTGGAATTTTACTTGTATAAGTTTATTGTCAAGGGGATGGTTTAGTTTTTTCCAGGCTGAGAAACAGAAGGTGGCACAGAAAAAGTTTCAAAGTGATTTTTATCATTATTTATCTGTAGGACCTTATTACCTAGGTCAGGCAGGTAAACCAAATCTTTCACAGTACAATTTAAAAGCCATTTCTTCTTGCTTTGCTCTTATGGCTGCACTGTCAACCTTAGTGAACGGCTTTTCACATATTTTAAAGACTTAATGTTACTTTTCAGTTGCCTTTTCTAGAATAATTTCATTAAAAAAAAAAACAAAACTTGTCTATATAGGTCTGATTAT